TTTGGCAATTTGTCAAAATTATTGTGTAATTTACCGAAAGCTGTTTGCAATGTTCTTTTATATATTTAAATGTCATTAAATCTGTTCCTGTTTACACAAAAGATAAACAGTGAGATGTTTTGCATTTTGTTCCCAATCTGTAATGAATGTCAAATGACGGTTTATACCCAACTATGATTTTAATAAAGAACCTAAATAATGTGCAAAAACTCAAAATCCTCTTTTGCTCTTGTCATAATTACTACAGGCACATTTCAAATGGGACGTTACATGGTAAGATTAGCAGTAATTGGCTTGAACTCTGAACAGAATAAGCATCGTGGACATATTTATTGAACAAATATTGATTTGTCATTCTGGTGAAGTTTTTTTTTTTCTGTGTCATCATATCTTGGGGTCTAAAGATTTAAAAAATAGCCACATAGTATGTTCATATGCAGAGTTTACACTGTAATATTTTTCATATAGTGAAGAATGAAATGACATACTCTGTTGATACACAGTAGGTATACTTGCACAAGTTATACGCAATATTACCAAAGTTCTTCCTGATAATGTTTGTGTTCAGTTTGACTGAGGCGTATTTGTTTACAGTACTGTGCAGTATTATATTGTGGTTGTGGTTAGTTTGCAGTGCTGCAGAGCTGCACTGCATCATCTTGAGAGATGTTCCTGATGGTTTGGTTACTTGTGCAAGACAGACATAATTCCAAAAATGAAATTGAACCGTCGCCCCCGCCCTCGTGCCCCCCACGTCACTTGAATCGACTTTTAATGTTTATCTTGATTTATTTTCATGAATCTAAGTGAGAGTAATGACCATATGGAGGTGGAGCACTCCCCCTTCTGCCACCGGTGCATTTAGCAGCGATACGCCCCCCCTCCAAGGGGGTGGGGGTGATGACTGAGGGGTTGGCCCCTGCTGATTCAGAGGTTAGGAATTTGCATTTGATTGCTGTTTGTCAACCAATGGCCTGAGTGTGCAAGCCGGAGACTATTCCACAAGCCTACGTGCGTCTATGCGTGTGGATGTGTGTGCGCGTGTGTATCCACGATCTGGGCTCACATCGACACCCAATCTCTGAAAACACAATTACACGCCAAAGCTGAAGGTCGCGGTAGATACCATGCAGTCACATGCAACGAGTTTACTTGTAACAGATAAACACGGGAGCCGTCGCTCTTCTTTTTGTTTGCGGGGCTTTTTTTACCCCCTGTGTGTCATTTAGGGGAGTCAGGGAAAATCAGGAATGCTTCTTCCGGTCCCAAAGAGTGAAAAAAACGAGCGGAAGTCGTAGTGGTAAGTTTAATATTTTCCTCCCCGTGTTTAATACCGTTATATTAATGCAGTAGTGTGTGTGTTTCCGGAGCGCCTCGCTATGTTTGTGACTCTTTTTTTGCTCGCTGAATGTATATTTTCATCGATACGTTATCAGACGGCTTGATCGATAATCAATCGCCTGGGCGGCGGATGGAGCCACTGCCATATGTCACCTCGCCATGAAGATTTCCACCTACGCCGAATGTCGCACTATTTAATGCAAAAAAGAAAGTAGCGTGAAAGGCGTTTTGAACCTGGGTCGCTGTGTTCAAATTTTCAAAGAAATATGGCTTATCACCGATTAAGCTGTCATCTCTGTGTTATTTACGCTCAGTCAAGATCGTCAAGCATTGCCAGCAAATATTTCCCAAGCCCTATTCCCTTGGTTTAACATCTAAATTGTTCTGTCAGTGTGCAACCACAGATTGGCTCCAACAGTTTTAACAATCCGATTATTAACAGAATTATCCGGTAAACTAAAGGCTGAATAACGGATAAACAAACTGCTCATTGTAGCGGATTCGATGGTAAAAGGGCTCATTAAGGTGTTTTCGCGTTGAGTTTTGTCATGGCAGCTTGCTGGCTCGGATGAAAACGCACCAATTGAGAGTTGCTGACTTTTACAAACGTTGTGTGCCATAAAATTGTGTAACCTAAATCCCCCCCTGCTGCTTGATATAAAAGACGGCTCATGTGGCAACGGCAATACTTTATCTTTAGAGTTACTATAATGAGAGGATAACACTAGACATTTTTTAACCCAGGAAAATGCAACCCCGAAGTTTAGTAATTAGCCCCAGCTCACAACTGTTCATTCTTCCTTGATGGACAGAAATTATTTAGTATGGGTCTGACTCTTGATAGAATTATCAGAAGTTATCAAGAATTACTGTAGTAATGTCAAGTGAATAGCACTGATGTCATTTTGGGTTTTATGTCAATACAATACAATACTACCATACAATACATGCTGATTTATATCGCGCTTTCACAACAGCGGCAGCTGTGACAAAGCGCTTAACCATTTCACAACAGCGGCAGCTGTAACAAAGCGCTTAATCAAACACTTAACATAAAGGAAAATAATAAACACAACACACAACGTAAATCACGAACATAAAGTAAAATAATGAACATAACGTAAAACACGGACAGTTGTGCCTTCCTAACCACTTTTCCCTCATACGCTTGGTTGTTTAAAGCAGTTTGAGATGAAAGAGGAGAGAACCAAAGTGCCCTTTCAATGCTGAATGATGCCTGAATATTAAACTCATGGTCAGTGAACCCTGGTTTGATCTAGTCTAAATGCTCTCCACCAAAATGTGCACAAGTCTGCAAAAGCGCTCCAAAACTGTCGTGGTTGTGTAAAGTTTAAAGTCGTAGTTCAAAAAGTCAGTTACACATTCAGGGGTGAGATTAATGACAAGTTGAGTCAAAACATCCACCCGACAAGTCCAACATAATAGAAGAAAAGAGATCCCTTTACTGCATCCGTGGGGTTGACACACCCGATACATTTGCTTGTGCGATGGATGATACAGGATTTCTGAAGACCTGGAAAACTAGAAATGACTTTTTGTGGTGGATGCCACTGGGCAATGCTCCTATTGTTTACTTGCCATAAAAGTTTGACAAAACAAACAAGTTTCCAATAGGTATGTCAGTTCCATTGAAACTAAATGATACTGACTCTGGGGTGGGGACGAGGGTCATATCTACATTAACATTGAAGAAAAGATTTTTGGGCCAAGGTCATGTCTTTAGTATTGTTACACAAAAATTGTATTTGATTGTAGGAAAAGTGTGATTTATGTTCTGTGTTGGCGGACAGACGACTGTGGATGACTGTAAAGATTCAAGTTTTAAAAGCAAGCCACTTGTTAGACTGGCTGGCATTTGTTTTGTGAGTAGTGTGACACTTTTTCAGTGTGAGTGGTGGTGGGGGCACAGGAAACTGGTCTCGTGCAGATATTTGTCTCTGCCCTTAAAAGTATAAACACTTAACAGCCTTCTTGTCTGATGTACTTGTAAATACTAGTCCTTAACCAGCAGTATTTGCCAACCTTTCCTGTGCCCCTTGCAAACTGCTAATATGTTGTCGGACCCCCACGTTAAAGTAATGTATCGTACAATGTATTGGATTGAAAATGACCAAAATCATCTGCGTCTTGGGTGCCCCTTTTCAAGACAATTATGGTGTAATCATTTGGTAACTGACTTCCATTTTGTGTATTTCATTTGACAGGAACACGGTTATGACATATCCTAGGCATGATGAAACTAAAAATTTTAGACATACAGTTTGTGCCACAAATAATAAAGTCAGAACGAGCGGTGAAAAAAAAGGGGAGGGGGGGCTCCACCATTGTCACGATTAAACATTTACCAACAAATGTACACACAGTGCATATCTTACATATCTCACACCCCCACCGGTGTCCAATCACCTTCCAGGCTTGCCTTGAAGTTGCTACTGTCAATCTGTTTGGTCCAATCTGGCATATGGTTGCGTTCCTGTTGGCACCAGCAAATTCTTGGAGCTTCCGTATAAATCTAACAAATCTAATGCGTTTTATAAAACTAGGTAGCTGTAAAGAAGTTTCTGCTTGCCCGTCCCCCTGTACTGTATGGGTGGTTTAGAAAATGGAAGGAGAGAAGGAGGCAATGAGACTTTTGTCATGTGCCATGCAATGGTTGAATGGCTGGCAGGAGCCTTTGACCATCGCAAATGGGTCTTTGATTTAATCTATTGATTGGTTTGGATCATTTCAAGCTTTTAATATTTAACACTGGACCGGATGCCTTCTTACAGCATTAAGTAAAAGCCGGCATTATCCTTTGCAAATGTTTTGACGTAACGGGGAAATATGTTTCATACTGTACCACTTTATTCGTGGTGCACAGAGAGTGAAGTGTTATTTCTGATTAGTTACACTGCTGTGTTCTTTGTGGCGTATATCTGCACACTCTTGTTTGACTTGCTTATTTCCCAGGAGTGCATTTACGTTGCCTTCCTCCTCAATATTTAAAAAGCTCCCTGTGGCCTCTTTTCTTCAAAGCGCACATTTGGATCGGTCCTGCATTGAATCCAATACAGGTCCACCTTCGGAATGAATCTTACACCCCATTCCTTGCCAACTCGGTTCAAGGTATACAGTAGTCTTTGTGGCAGCCATGACACATTTTTTAATCTCAACCGGAGGCTGTTTGAGAAAGCAGCAAGTGTAATATGCAAACATGTTGCTCTGTGAGGCGAATGACTGGCAGATTCGGCTTCTGAATTAGTTGGCGTCTGTGAATAAATGACTCAAAGACATGTGCGGACTAGACAAACTGGTCTGACGCCTGTTTGCTCTCTTATTATCAAACTCTTATCCTTCGCGAGCCTTTACGGACTGCTATGTTGTCACGGCATTCAAATATCCCTTCAAGGTTTGCTTAGGGTGTGGGCCAAAACTTGCTTGAATGTTCCATTAATCACCTTCCTGTGTGTGTCGGACTAGATTGTAATTCAGTGAATGTTGGCCGCACACAGGTATTGTGTGTGTGTGTGTGTTTGTTTGTGTGTGCCCGAAAGAAGACAGAAGCAGCTTGGCAACCTTTCATCTGCTCTTGTGCCAAAAGCTACTTTTCTGAAGGGCCTGTGCAGCACGTGGAGCCTCTGTGTTATCGTGCCAAAAAGCACAAGTTACTTCACTACTTGGGCTGGAGCCACGGGGGAATCCCTGACCGTGACGCAGGCAAAGGAAGGGCCTTGCAGTTCTGGGATGCCCCGCAGTTTTGCAAGTGAGCTGCTAGAACAGTTGTAGGGCTTGTTTTCAATCCGTGCGTGACGCCGGGATCTGCAACAGCCGGAATGTTCCATCTTGTTACTTGTCTGCCTGGATAGTAGCATGCATTCGCATCCTGCAACATGCTCATGCGTCTGTCAAACCTGATGCAATGGCATTTTATAGTATGAAAGACCTGGCACATTGCCCAATATATCAAATCAGTGTTCCTCCGGTTCGAGCAGACTTGTTACGCACTTTGCACAAGAACATCCTTGCATACGGTATGTAATATTTTATTTTATTGCGATTTTTTTTTGGGGCCATACCGGTATGAGAGCATCTGACAAAACCAAGTACGACCTGGTACGACAAGGCGCTTTTTCTCGTACCTGCCCAGCCAATGCCGAATAGGTGATGTAAACCATGGTCTCTTATTTGGGAACAGATTCATTGTCGCTGAGAATTGTTTTAATTACATGGGCATTAATGACTACAACACACATTTCCCAGAATTAAACTGCACAGTCTCCACCTGGCTTCAGTCGTTTGTTTGCTTACTGCCGTCAGTCTCCTCTGAATAAAATGTGTTTCTTTATCACGGACGGCAAATCTTTCAGAGTAGCGATTCATCTGCAAAATGAGTGTACAGTGATCCCTCGCTATTTCGCGGTTCGTTTATTGCGGCTTCAGTGCATCGCGGATTTTTTCAAACATTCATAAAAATTTAAAAAAAAACTTTTTTTTAAATTTTTTTTATTTTTCATACACTTAATTACTTCAAAATTCACTTCTCCATGCATGTATACCGTTAAATTTGGCCATATAAATGTTATATACATGTACCTAAATGGAGGGGGGGAGTGTCGCTACTTCGCGGATTTTCGTTTATCTCGGGTGGTTTTGGTCCCCATTAACCGCGATAAACGAGGGATTACTGTGTAGTGTGTGTGTGTGTGTGTGTGTGTGTGTGTGTGTGTGTGTGTGTGTGTGTGTGTTTTGAAAGAATATGATATGCTGTAACAAGTGTGGAACAAAAGTGCGTGATCACACAACCTATAAGAACAACTAATTGCTAGTTCATTCACTCCATTATGTTCTTTTGTCTCTGTGTGCAGAAAAAAAACAACAGCGTAACTAGGCCGGTGATCATCACTAACCCATTTGGTTCTGGATGTCTCCATGTTGTCAACATAAATCTCTAAGTACGTGCCTTTGTGCAAACAAAAGACTGCACTGTACCAAAAAAAAAAAAAAAAAAGTTCAGTCGCCAGATAAACCCAACAAGTTAATCCAGTTCAGGGTGTTCATGCCATTCCAAAAGAAGTTGAACCCCCCCACCCCCACCTCCCTGCCCCTCTCACACCAGACATTCTATCGTCATAGCGTCTCGAGTAGCTAAAGCAATGTGTCTACCCTGCGAGCTACGACATGCAGGCTGCATTCTAAATCTCTTTTAATGGCAGCAGCCTTTTTAACGCAGGAGTAATTTACATGCCTCTTACTCAGAGCAAACAAATGACATTGTGAAAAAATTGCGGGAACTACGAGCCGTAGTTGTTGTCAACGTTTTGTCTCACAATACATCGAATATTTCAGGTATAATTCTTTTCTTTTTTTTCTTCAAATTGGAACATGATCGATGCTGTGTTGATCAAAAAGTGACGATTACTGAAGAAAAGTGAATAAACAGACACAATTGCCCAACATCAAGTGTCACATTTTCAGTTGTGCCTGCATGTGAACGCCCCCCCGTGTTGCTCCGCTCGAGCTGTCATCCAACGCATTTACGTTTGCTCCCAGAGTGCGACAAAATGAAGCCTATGTTTTGGTTCTCAACAAGGCGCGGTCAATATCTACCATTGCAGCAGTCAACATTAACGGCAGAACATTTCAGTTGAATCGGCAGAACATTTTGTTTCTCATTTATCAGATGATACTCCTTTTGTTTAATGCAACATGAACGGCAGAACTTTTCAGCTGAATCGGCAGAACATTTTGTTTCTCATTTATCAGATGATACTCCTTTTGTTTAATGCAACATGAACGGCAGAACTTTTCAGCTGAATCGGCAGAACGTTTTGTTTCTCATTTATCAGATGACACTCCTTTTGTTTAATGTGCCTCAGGAGCTGATTACAATGTTTGCCTCCTCCCACATTATAAATATTGCATGTATAGATGGGGAGGTGAAATCATTCATTTCAATAGAGCGAAGAGTTGGCGAACTTTTGGAAGGCAGCAGTCAGCGTATACGTTTGTGCAAAACTAAATGTCGACCAAACACTAACATGCTTCATGAGGTACAGCTGCACAATATGAGATACATTCCAGCACGTGTGTATCAAATGGTGCTCATTTGGATTATCATGAATAGTATTATTTTGCTTTTGGTCGCTGAATTTCAATTTATTGAAGTTGGTTCTAATCAGATTATTGATTCAATTCCTTTTTATTGTCATTTCCTTTTCCATTTTACTGCAAATGATGCACGTCAAGTTCACTGTTTAGTCATTATTTACGAGCGCGTTCAAACAAAATTGCTTGCACTGATGTCTTCTGTCATCTTATTTCCCGGCCCTGAAGTGGATCAGGATTATTTTTGCTATAGGCCCATTTAATTTATAGAATAGCCGAGGCTAATCAGATTTGGCTCACTGTGTTGCCGTGAGCTCACTGGAAGAGGTCAGTGGAAAGTGCGTGACCGGCCTGTGCGACACTTCCTCAATGATCTTGTTGTTGGTGCCGCCGAGCTCAATAGAGCCTGTGTTATTGCCATGCGAGGTAATACTGCAAGGAATGTGAGCGAGTGATGCATAATCAAGACCAGCACCACTGACCGACTTCTTGTGTCCATGTTGTTTTTGTCACGATAATAGAGGATCATTAGTCGCTACTGTTTGCCACTTAGTATGCTGTTTTTACATACATACAACTTGCACGATGTGTGGAACCGATGAGTTGGCGTCAGCTTTTCAAACTTGAAGTCGACTATTTGCCGATCAGGTCTTTATGGCATCATGTTTTACAATCGGCCAATTTAGGGAGGGCTTTCGAATTTCTCATCTGCTCCCATCGCCAGACACTAACCGCTTTGCAGTGAACTCTTCGTCATACATCTACACAGGTTAGAGAGCACAAAAATAACATGGTTGTGGTGAGAAGAGCGGTTAGCCTTGCTTTTCTGATCTCTCCACGTCTTCCACTAAGAGGACCGGCGGCAAGAAAAAAAGGCAGCAGCGCAAAGTGAAGCTCCGTCTTCATCGCCAAAACGTTATGTCAAATAATGCACGAGTTACAACTGTGATAGCGAGCTCTATCCGTATCACAGCGCCTATGAACATCGTGACAGTTGTGTCGCTTTACGATTCATGTCATGACCTATATGCTGTAATATTTTACAAAAATGAGACTGGCAGTACGATCCCCTTCAAATTATGCAAGTCTATCCTCAAATACAACAACAGAACAAATGACACAAACGGTGAAGCAGAGAAAAGGCAGAATTTTTGGGGAACCCCCGTCTATGATGTCACGCCCTAGCAGACACTATCCTAATATAGATACAGTAGAACAAGATGAAACTGTCCGATTTGTTGAAAAAAAGCATGCGCAGCACTCCCACTGGGCTTTCTCTGGGTTTCTATGTCCGTCCATTGAAATGTCCTCCCATGAAACTGGTCATTGGCCCCAAACCGGTTTGAGACAGCTGTACTGTATTGAAAAACTATCGACGACATCATCTATTAATCAACTTTGACTCAACGTTCACCACATTGTAGCTGACTATAAAAACGTATTTGAATTGTTCAACCTCAAATTTGCACAGTCAAACACATTTAACAGTGTTGGCATGCATTTTTCATCACATCGTAGAATAATAATAGTTAAAAAAAACACGACATTTGAGTAGGCGCTTTGAGAGAGAGAGAGAGAGAGAGAGAGAGAGAGAGAGAGAGAAACATTTGCCCTTTTTCAGTTTTGTGTGACTTTAGCCAAAGGGAAGAGTTCAAACCTGTAACTTGGAATAAAGTCAATAGGGCATTGTGTACACAACCCACCAGTTATTTGCATTTGGCTTATTATCTTTATAGATATTTCCTCCGACTTCCCCTAACGCTCAAATGTACTTTTTGATTACCTTGGGGCTAGGGCTGTCAAAATTAGTCGATAAATCACATCTACATTGGCTATCAAAATTGTCTACAATTAATTTAATAGTCAAGAAGTCATTTATTCATGTATTTATTTATTTGACGTTTTGTTTGCTGCTCCTGCTGACCCCTGGCCTGTCTGTGACACGCATGCGCAGTAACAGTCATTCGGTTCATCTCCGTTGCAAACAGGAAGCTCTATGGCTAAAGCGGTGCCGTGGCTAACTGGTGTTAGCACAAGAATCCAAAAGTTAGGGCGCATTTCACCAAACATACTTAATGCAACCGTGCCTTTCTTGGCAACACGACGGGGATGCTCGAACATCTAAAAAGGAAGCACGTCGTGGCTGATGCCCGATACCATTTCTGACATTGGGACAGTCATGTGTAGATGCTGGCCTGAGGACACACAGGTTACCTCGTGTGTTTGACAGAAGTGTCAAATCCAGGCCCAGAAAGTAAAAACCCTGCCGGAGTTTGGCTTTAGCCACAGGTGCGTCTACTCACCCGGCAGGCAAACAAGCTCCTGGGAGCTAGCTCGTTTACCTGCCAGTTGAGTAGAAGAACCTGTGGCTAAAGCCAAACGGTGGCAGGGTTTTTACTTTCTGGACCTGTATTTGACACCTCCGGTGTTTGATGTAATGATAAAACTGTTTGGTATGCTAAAAAATTGTAGCGTCTACTATGGATTACAGAAGCATTAGTCCACAGGTGTCAAACTCAAGGCCCGGGGGCCAGATCTGGCCCACCACATCATTTTATGTGGCCCGCGAAAGCAGATCAAACATGTCAACTTTCATGATGCTTTCTAAAATGTCTACCAAAAATTTTCATTCTCATATGTAATAAAGAAGAGAGATATGCTCAACATTTTCTTGTTACCAAACCCCTCATGATAGTAACTTAAACAAGAGTTGAATCAACATTTATTCTTGACTTCTTTACACATGGGTTCAGTCATAACGGCCCTCCAAGGGAAACGGTAACTAAAATGTGGCCCATGACAAAAATGAGTTTGACACCCTTGCATTAGTCAGTGAACTTGCATTTATTAACAACCAAACACAGCTACTGTATGCCCGTTGTTGACATCAAAACAGGAACGGCACACAAGGTCGCTCATGGTCTCT